CATCTCACCCGCGACCCAGTTATCGTTCCTTGTACTTCTTTTGCCCTGTTGATACGCTTGGTTCCTCATGCATCACTCTGTTCTCCCCTCTTTCTTTCGCCATTCCATGCAATGAGGAGATCGCATAATTTTGGAACCCCCTGCGCGTCACATATGTGACGAACCACTTCCCGACCACGTGCCATCTTTCGTACCCTTTCTTTTGCTTGTATCATACCAACCCCAGGAAAACCCCGTTTTGAGTTCTTGCTTTCGGGTGTCGCATTTTCCTTTTTTGAGAGTTTTTTCGACTACTGAGTTCTGTTTTTCTTCTTGCAAAGTGGGGAAATACATGGGAATTTACGTGCGCCTTAGCGAGCGCACTGGGAATTGGGCTCGGTAGTTGGGAATTCCGGGATAAGCGGAACTTCGACGTGTCCTTTTGTGGTGTGTGAATGTTATTGGGCGCGTCGGGGAAAACTCTTGGAATTTTGCATGAATACGAATAGGCGTAGGGTTTTCTTTTCCCGCGTCGCTTTTTCGCGCGCGGATATGGTGATTTCAATTTTGAATCGGGATAGAAGCAAACTGTAACTGTTTCGGTGCCTTTTTCTTTCTTTTTTTGTTGACGGCGCCACGCATGCAGAGGCTTTCTCCTCTCTGTCCCCCGCATCGCTCCCTCCCACGCTCCCTTTCCTTCTCCCTCCTCTTTCTTTCTCCCCGTAACTGTTTCTTCCTCTCTCCCCCTCCCCCGTCTTGCTGTTCGCGCGCCCATTTCCCTTTCTTGATCGTTTGAATCTTGGACCTGTCTTGCGCCACCTCTCGCGCCTTTTCTCTTCTCACCCTCTGAGTCTGGCGTACGACTCCCAGTCGATCCCCCGATAACTCCCGCTCGGCAATCAGGTGCGTGGATCGATAGGACCTTCCTATCGCGCGACGAATCTGATTGGTTGAACCTTGAGTTCCGAGGGATCAACATGGCATTCTCGGAGCGCTCTTCTCAAAGTCTTCTCCTCCTTCTCCTCCTACACCCCCGCCTTCCCGTCGTTCTCTCCCCCTTCTATCTCCTCTGTCGCAACTATAAAACCYGCAAGCGCGCCCGCAAAGCTCTCTTACGTTCTCGACTCTCAAGCYAGCTTCCGGGAAGCAGTGKCTGGGCAGARTGTTTGAAGCGATTCGGAAAGTCCTGTCGGGCYGACGATACACTGGCCGGTTGCGCGCTGGATCGCCACGAYGGACTGTGGGATCTGGGTRAACCGTGTCGAGTTTACGAWAGCGGGGTGACGATCGGAGTGGTGGGAGTTAGYACGAGACAACCGGGATCRTCGGTGCGGGTATGAGGATCRATRTTGAGTTGATTGGCCCGRGGCCATATTGGAATTAACTGCGAATRYKCCTTTGTTGCGGATTGTTATCTTTGGCGTGAGTGTACGACGGKGAYGCCRAACTTTTCTCTTCCTGGATCTCGTCATCTTCTATTTTGGACTTTCTTTCCCTCGACTCTCTCTCTCTCTCTTTCTTCTCTTTCTTCTCGAAAGACGATGCGTCTGACTGATTGTCCCTCTCTTGAATGGGAATGAGTCGGCATCCTGTTTTTGTGTGAAAGAACTTCTTTTGGAACTCTTCCATTAGTTTCCTGGGTAATCCTCCTACGCGAGGACCCCGTCTACTTGTCTTGTGAACGGTGGATGCGTGTGTACGGTGCAATGCGATCCATCTTTTCCTGTGAATGTCTCATTTTCGCACCTTCCACAGTGAATGCATGTATAGAGATGCGTGACTTTTCGGATTGATTAGACGAGTGTCGTCGGGATTTTGTTCGAGAATACAAGAGTGTTTAGATCTATAGTCCCGAACGCACTGCGCATGCCATCTGCCTTATGCGGCACGACATCAGCAGCCACGCCACCAGGCGACCTTGAGAAACAAGGCGCCGGAAACCAACGTTGTGTTGAACTGAGTCGCGGGTCGGTCCCTTAGCCCTATGCATGATCAAGCTGATGTGTGTCTGTTCCCTCGTGTGTCAAGAAGGGTAGATTGAGGGTCGCATGAATGATTTTTGTTCTTAATGATGCCTCTGGATATATGTGATTGATTGATATGTGGACTGACAAGCACCCTTCGATTGGGCGCCAGCCTCCCGTATCTCCCATCCCAACGCGACCTTTTCCCTACAGCGAGGAAATGACACGTGTATATGAGTGGGACGTACGAGAAGCCGTCGCACAAATTTCCGGGCAGTATTACTTCCCTCCGGCCAACCGTTGTTCTGGGTTCGTAGACGCCGGATTTGTCATTATCGATACACACTTTCCACCCTACTCGATATTGTTGCCGTTTAACGAGCTGATCGTCATTCCGTGGACGGCAGTAGCGCCCCATTTGCCTCGCACTCTGTGCACGGAGTGTCAGCGTTTCGATCGCTACGAAGCGAAGGGCTTCCACTACCGAATACGGAGTGAGGACGAGCATAAGGAAAGAGCCTCTCGGCTGAGACCATCCACGTCGGATTCGGAACTGACCAGCGAACGACGACGAGATCTGATACGAAAACGAGACACGCGAAGCGTGCCAGAGCCTTTCCGTTCTAAACGACGGGCTGTAGCCCCGTGGGAAGCCCGACTGTACTTCTGGATTGAATTTGGATCTTTCTGTTTTCGTGCCATGTCCGCGCGCGCATTCTGCGAGGCGCGAAACTATTCGACTTGCTTCATCGGACCATCACGGGGTATTTTAGTTCCATCTGTGTCCCCACACTCAATTTCCCAAAAATCCTTGGCACACCCCATCTCGGTGTTTTTCTGGGCCTCTTTCCGCACGTCTCACACTCCGAACGAAAGACAGCACTGGGCGTGAGGTTGCACGTCACAGACAGGACGACACGATCAGCAGGTCTCTCAACACTTAGACTGCCTGTTGCGCAGCCCACAACTCAGCCTTTCGGGCCTACCGTGCCACACCGAGCAGCCCGCCGGGCTGTACCGGTCCTTGGGAGGGTTAGGCTTCCGGGACAGGCGAGTTGTCGGACACAGTTTTTAGCCCTACTAGGACCAGTAGGGGTTTGATCAACAAGGCCTATCCTTCATCCACAGAGTACTATCACCTAGACAGAAGAGACTCGATGCAGAAAGAAGAGACCGACAGACTTGACTCAACAAGTACCACAGGGTGTGTGCTCATCCATAGGGCGAGGGATAGGCTGAAGGCTTGGCGAGATTTTACCGACTCCAACTTGGTTAAAGTCTTGGTCAACGCCTGAGTCAAGCCTCGGTCAACGCCTCAGGTTAACTCCATGTTGGCTATGGCTGCCAACTTCACTTTCCTTCACCAACCTTCTTTTCACCTCGCCTCTTCCTTCTTTCACCCCGACTGTTTCCTTTTTTTTTTTTTTTTTTTTTTGATCGTCTCTCCCTTCACCTCTCTCGGCTATAGCTTTCCTAACTTTGCTCGGCCTCTTTCTCTCTGCCCCTCTTCACCTCCCTCCTTCGTTACTCCGTGGTCAACTCCTCGGCTATGGCCGCAATCTTCTTCTTCGTGGGACTGCGCGGCACACTGCACAGGTCAATGACAACCAAACTTGTATCGCTCGTCTCTCTCTCTCTCTCTCTCTCTCTCTCTCTCTCTCTCTCTCTCCCCGTAGCGATGTCTTCAACGCAGGTACGTAGCAACAATCTTGTATCGCTCAACCTTCCTCTCTCTCTCTCTCTCTCTCTCTCTCTCTCTCTCTCTCTCCCGGTCTTCTTCTTCGTCGTGGTCTCTTCTTGCAGGTGCGCGGCGGCTTCTCTAACCTTCAGGTCCGCAAGGGGTAAAGTCGGACTGAACAAGTTACCGGGGACTGCAGCACATACACATACACATACCGGGGGTCACTGGGTACAGCAAGGGGTAAAGGTGGACTGAACAAGTTACCGGGGACTGCAACACATA